CTGTGTTTTGTTTTTGTTTTTTGTTTTTGTGTGGCTGGGGGAGGGGGGGGGGGGGAAAAAAGAGGAGGGGCGTTATTTTGTTGAGGTTTTTTGCATTAATATTCCTGACACCATTTGGGAAACCCAGAGACTCCTAGTTACAGTGTCTTACTCTTCTACTAAGGACATAGAGATTGATGCGTCAGAGAAGAATTTCCTCTCTAAACCAAAATACAGTCTGTAGAGATTTCTGCCTTCCTCCGAAGGATGGGGGCATGGTACTTTTCCTAATCTTCTGCAAGAAACCAGAATTCACGGCCCAGAAGACGACCCCTTCCAAGCCTACATTCCTAAACTGTACGATCTTCCCTCAGAATCCAATCTATCCAGAGTATGTCAAAGCTTACAATTAAAATAATTGAGTCCGTCAATCTTCTCTCTTCACTGCAACATTTTAGAATCATGTTGCATCCCACCTTACTGAAGGGGGACTGTTCACATTCATTTTTAATTAAAACACTTTCACAATTTGGCTTCAAAGTGTAGCCTACATCAGTTGAAGTTTACAAAACTGCATGCGAATTAACAGTAACAAAGAAGAAAGGGAGGGGAAAAAATGAAGTGCTCTAAACTTACGGCAGTTTCATCCGCATGAATACTCTGGCCATGAAGAAGCTCAGTAGCACACTGACAAATCCAATAAAAAGCAACAGAAATCTATTGAGTTTGGGGATATTTGGTGCATTGGATCGGTCCAGAATTATGAATCCTAAACCACCCATTGTGAAGAGAAAGCTGGATGCAAGCCCTTCCATAATGTACTGTCCATTTACTCTACAAAAAAAGAGCAAGAGGGGTTTCATTAGGACACCAAAACCAAAGATACCACTTCAATTTCAAAACTTATATACTGTACTTCAATTTACAGAAAGTTCAAGGCAGTTCATGCCTGCATACTAGTAGCTTCAGCATGAATTGTCTTCTGCTCCTTGACAAAGTCAATTGTAGCAATGGATTAAAATGTAATTTTGCTCACAGACAAACTGTCTAGGAGGTGGAAGATCAAAAGTTTAATTCTGGCAAGGAGCATGCATAATAGATGGTGATGTACAAAAGTGAGCTCTAAATAAAATAATACTTAACACATGAGAATTTTAAAGTTAAAGTTAATTTAAGAATAAAGATACCAAGGTTTTAAGTAAACAAAAGTATAAATAGGGAGCCGAAACTGCTAGGTTGTTGAGCTTTCAAATTTGTTTCCCATTCAGATGTTTAGAAGAGATACTGAAATGCAAATGACAGAATTAAAAAAACACTACTTAAAGCTCTACCAGGTAGGTTTAGCACAGGACTAGGAGTCAAGTATTCTTGACTACATTCTCAGCTCTGCTCCTGATAAGGTCATGGTTTTGAATAAGCTCCTTAACCCTTCTTTGCCCCTGTGCTCCCACCTGTACATTACAAAGAATATTTTAGTATTACAACAGAAGCAAAATATTCTACATGTTAGCATTTACTATCCTAAAAGGAAGTGGTCTATGATTTTATCCATTGCCCCCAATAAATTTTTACTGAAGTATTCTTGCTTTTGGAGTGCCTCAACTCACTTCTATTGCAATGGTCCCAACAAACGCAAAGGGGAAATAGTACATGGCTTTGTTTAAACTATGTCAGTATACTGGAACTATGCCAAGCCTGAACAAGAACCAAGATATAGAAAGTATTTTTAAGTCAATTTCTTTAAAATGTTTAGTTTTTTTTTTTGTTTTTTTTTTAATTAATAGCAGAATAATTCTAATCAAAATACAGTAATCATCTACTACAGCATTTAAGAACAGCAGTCACTATCCAAAATTCCATAGGCTTACTCCTTAATATTCTCAAGTAACTTCTAATTCACCATCCAGCGTAGAGTGTCAAGGGCCCGCAGCAAGGTGGTAGCCCTTGACTTCAGGAGGGCCAACTTCAGTGAGATGAGGAGATTAGTGGGAGAGGAACTGGGGTCCTTGAGGGCAGAGGAACTCAGCGTCCAAGAGGAGTGGTCGTTCCTTAAGGAAACAATACTCGGGGCCCAAGGGGTGTCCATCCCGACAAGAAGCAAGGGGGGCAGGAGTGTCCGAAAGCCCCCCTGGCTCACCAAGGGTGTCCGGGAATGCCTGCTTGCCAAAAAGGAGGCGTACGCCTGGTGGAAGGGGGGTGTAATCTCCAAAGAGGAGTATACCTCCTCTGCTCGGGCCTGCAGGCGGGCTGTTAGGAAGGCCAAGGCGGATATAGAGCTCGGTTTAGCGTCCAGGATTAAGGATAACAAAAAGTCCTTTTTCAAATATATTGGGAGGATGAAGAAGGCGCCGGGTAATGTGGGGCCCCTGCAGGATATGCGGGGCAATCTGGTGGTTGCGTCAGAGGATAAAGCGGACCTCTTTAACCAATTCTTCACCTCCGTTTTCTTGTGCAGGGACCGGGACTTCCCTGCGTTAATAGAAGCCGGACGCGAGGGGATTGCCTTCAGACCTCAGGTTGGGGAGGACCGGGTTAGAGAGCTTCTGGAGGGGCTGGACGCGTTCAAGTCAACGGGTCCGGATGCTCTCCACCCCAGGGTGCTGAGGGAGCTGGCTGGGGTTATTGCAGGGCCCCTGGCACGGCTCTACGAGCGATCGTGGTGCTTGGGCCAGGTGCCAGACGATTGGAAGGTAGCTAATGTGGTCCCCATCTTCAAAAAAGGGAAAAGGGAGGACCCGGGCAATTATAGGCCCGTCAGTCTTACCTCAATCCTGGGGAAACTCTTTGAGAAGATCATCAAGGAGCACATTTGTGATGGGCCGGCATCAGAAATGATGCTCAGGGGCAATCAGCATGGATTTATTAGGGGGAGATCATGTCAGACCAACCTGATTGCCTTTTATGATCAGGTCACAAAGGCCATGGACGCAGGTGTCGCGGTGGATGTAGTCTTTCTGGACTTCAGCAAGGCCTTTGACACCGTCTCTCACCCCATCCTAATTAATAAACTAGGCGACTGTGGCATAGATGCCTACACAGTCAGATGGATTGCAGATTGGCTGAAGGGTCGCACTCAGAGGGTGGTGGTGGATGGATCATACTCGACTTGGGGGGAGGTGGGTAGTGGAGTCCCCCAGGGCTCGGTCCTGGGGCCTGCGCTGTTCAATTTCTTCATCAGCGATCTTGATGTTGGGGTGGAAAGCAACCTGTTTAAATTCGCTGATGACACCAAAATTTGGGGGGAGGTGAGCACGCTAGCAGGGAGAGAGAGATTGCAGAAGGATCTGGATAGGTTACAGGGGTGGGCAAACAGGAACAGGATGTGTTTCAATACGGACAAGTGCAGGGTGCTGCACTTGGGTAGTAGGAACCAGCAGCACACTTATACGATGGGGAACTCCCTACTTGAGAGCACGGAGGCGGAAAGGGATCTTGGTGTCATTATTGACTCCAAGATGAACATGGGCCGACAATGCGAGGTCATGGTTGGCAGGGCTAACCGGACCTTGTCGTGCATCCACAGGTGCATCTCGAGTAGAGCCAGGGAGGTGATCCTCCCCCTCTATGCGACGCTGGTCAGGCCGCAGCTGGAGTATTGTGTCCAGTTCTGTGCGCCCCATTTCAGGAGGGATGTGGACAACATGGAGAGGGTCCAGAGGAGGGCCACCCGCATGATCCGGGGACAACAGGGCAGACCCTCCAGTGAGAGACTGCGGGACTTGAACCTATTCAGCCTCCACAAGAGAAGGCTGAGGGGGGACCTGGCGACCGTCTATAAACTCACTAGGGGGAACCAGAAGGGTTTGGGGGAGACGCTGTTTCCCCTAGCCCCCGCTGGCATAACAAGGAGTAATGGGCACAAGTTGATGGAGAGGAGGTACAGATTGGACATCCGAAAAAACTACTTCACAGTTAGGGCGGCTAGGAGCTGGAACCAACTTCCAAGGGAGGTGGTGCTGGCCCCTACCCTGGGGATCTTTAAGAAGAGGCTGGATACCTACCAGGCTGGACTCATTTGAGTCCTGTTTTTGTTTTTAAGGTTTTTTTGTTGTTGTTGTTCTCCCGCCCTGGCGGGGGGTCGGGCTAGAAGATCTATTAGGTCCCTTCCGACCCTAAAACTATGAAACTATAATTAAATTAGCTGAATCAATATTAGAAATTTAGATTTTAAGCAAGGAGATATGTGAACTCATTTTGAAGAGCAGACAGTTTTATGCTGAATAAAAAAAAAACAAACCCAAAAAACTTAGCTTCAGTCCTGTAGCTACAAGTGGCCTCTTGCACTCATGCAAAAAGTAGCTTGTAAGATAAGGAAGGACTTATTTCTCAAAACATATCACAATACCTTGAGTTCACAAGTACTGCATGCAAGTCTTGCCTTATGGTTAAATTGGATTCTACTTTTTTGACTCTGATACCGTCTCATACACAATTTCCTAGAACAGGGGTGCTCGACCTCAAGCCTGTGAAACCACGACCTCAGGGCTGCAGGGATCCCCACAGGTTGAAAAAATTGGCAAGTGGGAAGCAGGGGAAGCTCTGTGCAGCTAGGTCCAGCCCTGCCTAAGCCACTGCGGTACAGTGGAATCAGGGCCAGGCCTATCCCTGCCCCCTTCACGCATGCAGATAGAGGCCGCTTCATCACCCCACCTGGCATCCAGACCAGGGCTGGGATGCTCTCCCTTCCCTGTCAGGATTGTGGTTGCCTTTGCCTCCCTGAATTAATTAGAGTCAGGCCACACCGCCCTCTAGCAGGACGGGGCCCCTCTGCTGGCTAGATCATGCCTACTGGCCAGATCTGGCTTGCAGCCAGACTTGGCACTGCCCATCTGGCCTGCAGGGCAGAAAGGTTGGGCACCACTGTCTTCAAATCATTAAAACATTCCAAGATTATTCTATGAACTTAATCTTTATGGACTCATTACTGGCTAATCGTGCTAAAGGACATTTTCTGAGGTAACTAAACTTAATAGAGCATAATTAATACAAATATAATAATGAAACAATGCAGATAACCAATGTCCTACAATTCACTTCTATTCACTTACCTGACAAACACTTAAAGGCAATATAGCTATGAAATAGTGGTTCTATATACATACACATACACCCATCCATCCTATCGTCAATCTTGATGTCAAATCATAAGGATATGGGGGAAAAAATTAAAACTAATAGCAAACCTTCCCTCTTATATTGCAAAGAATGAATGTTAACAAAAATATCTGGAAATATTATTTATTAAGAGAAACAAAAATAAGATTGAATTCTGCCAAGACTAAATGTTCACAGCATAGTTAAACAGGTCACTTGGAAATCAAGACACCACTCTTATAGTCAGATGCACAGATCGGTCCTTGGTCCACACAGAGCTTAAAAGTTAGATAGCATCATAAGAGTGCTAGGTTTCACTTGTATGTGCAGGGGCAGAAAAATAAAAATATCTTCTAAGGCAAAGAATAATTTGTACCTATATGCCAAGAAGGCCACTGGTCTCTGATGCCCATGTTCATCTGTCATAGATCCAACACTCGGAGGTTCTACAATTACATCGTAGATTATTCCTATAAAGAAAAACAATGTTGCATGCTAGTTTTGAATTGTAGAGCAAGTTAGCAAGCACAGGCTATTCCTAATGTTCAGAAGGGTTTCTTTCCATCACCAGCCTAAACAATTCAATACAAACATAATTTTAAATTTAGATTTATTTAAAAATAAAATGAAAGCTATTAAGTAGCTATTTTCAAATCAACATGATCACTTCATTAAAGTACATCCTTAGGTCCCAATGAATGACTATTAAACAGAAATCTCATTTTTGCTTTAGCACTGAGAAGAGGGAAATTTAAAATTTACTTGTGTACATATACATGCAGCATACTATATAGCATACTCCACTATATACATCTCAGATAAGCACATAATTCAGCTAACTGCATAACAGGACAGCAGTCCCATTTTTTTTGCCTGCTGGATACATAATAAACAAACACTGGTTATTTGTTTATCCACTGAGAACAGAAAATGCTTAAGTGGATAGAAACTCTTTGGTCTTACTGGCAATTATATTGTATAATTGGTGAAATCCACTAGTCTCAAAGTTTCTAAAGCAGTCATGAACTGACTTGGTCCTCATTTCAAGGTTGCTGTTAGATGCGTAAGGTGCTCTGAGGAATAAGGAAGGTAGCTTCTAACTATGGGAGAGTTCGGGGGGGGAGGGGGACTAAG